AAAAAAAATCAACAACAACTAAAAGTATAATATAAACTCTACCAGTGACCATGTTAGGATAGAAATACTGTGACCCAACATGGGAGGCAGCCTTTGATACCATAATTTTAATAATATTCAATTCTCATTTTTTTAACCCTTATACTGGAACCTTTTCCAAGAGGTTTCGCTTTTCACATCCCGTATTGTTTTTTCTCTTTTTTAGTCAAAAGAAGCGCACAAATTTTGTCACATCAGCAGAAAAACTTTGCGCCTACAAGGCACTCAAAACGTTAGCCAACCTCTCTTAATTAGATTCCATTTATGTCGTATAAAATAATTTGAATTGATATGCTACAAGATTTGCTTCAGCGCCATAATATAAAATTTACCTGAGCTCTGCCATTCACATATTGTGAAAATTAAAGTAACAGCATAGATTTTGAGTCAACAACGACTCATTGAAAGGTGGCGAACACGACTTAGATAGAGGAGCTTTCATGAATCATTACCGTCACGCAATCATCGATTGCGTGATGCTTATTAAACAGTATCGTTAATTGCGTGCTTCGTGCGAAACTCAGAAAACCGTGCACACGGACGATTTGCTTCGATCGCAATTAAAATTCAGTAAACGTAAGAAAGCTTCAATTCTATCAATTGGGAATAATTTCTGATTGCGGAATATTTTTCTTGCGACTGACTTTTGCTTTGAAGAGTAATTTAAACACTCTCTGATCATTCTGTTGTACACGATGTTCTGAGTTTCACAGTTATTGCAACAATTTTAGGCCAATCGAAAAACAACTTAATAATTAACTAAATGATCGCCATTTAAGTAATTTCAAGGAATGAATAAGGATAAGCTCTTGAAATAAGAGCTGCGCAAGATTAGTATGAAATTCTGAGCCGTCTGAATAATGTTCCTTAATTCTCATTATTAAGAGCCCTCTTGTAATTCTCTCGATTTTTCCCATCTAACATAAATAGGACGCTGGGATTATTAATTGCCTAAATGTGAGAAGTTCGTTGACTCCTCTCCATTGTTTGACACGGTTACCTTTTCGCACCACCTACACTGACATTGTCCTGTGGTGTTGCCTCTTCTCTCAAATCAAAGATGAGTATCATCCGTTGCTCTGTTACTCTTTTTTTCTCCGGCTTCTTCTTTACCGTCAGAGGGCTTCCCTTCGGTTGAAATCTCTTTCTCTTGGTGCAGCTTTTCCTGTTCAGTTCCTGCTTCATTCAATTTTTGTTCCGAGTCTGACAGCAGTGCACCTTTAACTTCAGTTTGATGGACGCTAGCTCTCTCATTGTCATTTTCATTGTCTTCTGTGTCCTTCCGTCCATCGCTCGACTGTTGCTCTTGTTCTCCCTCACAAGACTCTTTTTTCGAATCCAAATTTTCTTGGTTTTTCTCCGAGCAAGTGACGGCTTCTTCTTCTGATTTCTTTCCTTCTCCTTCCTTAACCACCTTCTCTATTTCTTCCACATCTTTAGGTTTTACTTCATCATCTTCCTTCTTTGGCTCTTCCGTTTCACCCTCCGCTCCACTCTCAGTATCTTTGGCTTTCTCCCCTCCATCTTCTTCATTCTCCATAGGGAACAGCTCTTCTACCAAATCTGAATAGCGTAGCTTCCATGCGTATATGGAGTCTCGGTTTATTTCCGGTTGGGTCAATAACTCTTCAAGCTCTGAGAGATGCTTTTCTTTGTCCTACAAGAAAAAAAAAAAAAAAGGAAAAAGAGTTTCACATTGAATCAATAAATCGTCTGGGCTGAGTTTGCTTTTCTTTTTTTCTGTCCTACATGAAATGGGGCGATCTGGTTGGTGCTGGCAACATACCACTCTACACGCTGACTTGGAATTATTTTTTCACGTATGCATATATATATAAACTCAAAAACGTCGCCGCGCATTTTCTAACTCTTAAGGAATAAGAGTGAACGCCAAAAATCACTCTACTGTCATCGTTTCTGGGTGGAATTTCAAATGAATATAACACCTCAGCTGGGTCTTACATTTGTTTGACCCTTTTATTCATGTAAGTCATTGACACGCGATTCCTTTCAATGCCAATAAATTAACCAGAAAACACGCCACGAAAAAGAAAAAGTCCTTAAGCACAAGACGATTTATGGCAGGCACAAAAAGAGTACGAATCAGTTTGGAAAGTTAAAGGGTTATTAAAGAAGATTACAAATTGAAACCCACCTTGAGAGTTCTTTCCAAAGTCTTGAGTCTGACAAATTGCTGTTCCTCTGAATTATCCTTCACAGTTGACCACGCCCGAAGTCTGTCCGGACCCTCCCTCATCGGGTCACCTACTATCGACAGTCGCGCTTTTTTAATATTTCGACACATGGCCAAAAGCTGATCATCTTCCGAAGAAGACTTGACTGACCCTTGGTCGCTCTTGATCGATGCTCTGTCGCTCCTAATCGATCCTTTGTCGCTAGCCGAGCTGGAAGACTTGATGCGTACCGGAGGTTTCTTTTCTTCAGTCTCGGTTGCTACAGACCATGTTTCCTGCCTGTTCAAAGTGAAGTACCATTTGGTGCTTGATGGGGACACTGGTTCGCTGGCGTCAGGTTCCGTCGGGCTAGTTTCAAAGACATCTTCCATGATCTCCTGCTTCACCTCTACTGTTTCCGTTTGATGCTCAGAATGAGTAACTTCTGCTCCCTCTGTTTTAATCACTGACACTACAGTTTCAACTTTCTCGGAGACTACTGAGGTTGTTTTTACTGTCTCTATTACAGTAACGGAGCTCTCTGTCGTAATAACGCTACTGTCCCCGTCCGTTGTGTCAACTGCTGATCCCACTGATTCTTGTTCGGGTTGAGTACCCTCAGGTTCTTTCTTCTCCGCTGCGTCGACGGCTTCTTCGTCTCGCTTCTCCTCTTCAGGCGAAGCTTCAGTCGAGGCAGCATCGCCCAATCCCACCGCGGGCGGTGTGTCTTTTTCAGGAGACACTTCAACAGGTGGTGCAGACTCTAAGACTACCTGCTCGCCACTTACCACTACTTCGTCCGCGGAAGCTTCTGGTTTTTCAGTTGATTGACTTTCTCCACTTTCGCTCGTGTCTTTTTGCTTGTCCTCTGAGAGTTCAGTAACTGGCTCCGTGCCATTCTGTATCGGCTCTGTTTCAACAGGTTCAGAGTTTGTGTCCTTTTTCTCCTCTGTCTCTGTCACTTGCGGTACTTTTGAGAAAGAGCCTGGATTAGACCTCCCCCTGAGAGCGTTTGAGTCTTCTTCGTCTACTATCAGGCTATGACGCCCTCCATAAGCTGCAAAGTAAGATCAGAAAAGGATTTATTTTAAACTAAACGACAAAAATTATTTCGATTATATAAATATGAATTTATCACATCTGCTTCAGGTAAACAATCTTTTTAGAATGAGAGTATAAGAGGGATATTAAAATTTACCTTATGATATCATTTAAAGCAAAACGTCAACCAAGAAAAGATGAAACTAAACTCTGTGTTTTACGTACTCAAGCTTCGAACAGCCTTATTCACTGTAATTTGAGGACTGCGCAGCTCATTGCTGTCCTAAGCAGCGCCTGCCGATTGTGTTTTTGGCGCATTTAAGACCATTAACCACAATTTATTTTGTGTTCTTATTGGCTCATGATTTGTGATAGTTTCCTTCGTTTTCACCGGCCCCTGTGATTACTTTTGTAAACCTGAACAAACGATGTTTTAATACAAAAGTAACTTCTTAAACGGAATGGTTATCTTCATCGCTATTATTAACATCATCATCATTATCGTCATTCTCAGTTACCATTATCATTATCATATCTCTGTGTTTGTTACACTGGATTAATGTCAGTATCTATGCAACCGCGCACCTACCCTCCCCTAACCCTAGGGGAGGGTAGATGCGCAGTTTCTCAGATACTAACATTGATCCACACTATTCATCACTTTCTTTCTGTCCAATACTAACCAAGTACAGAACTCGTTCTCTGCGCTGAACTGATTGATCCTGACTTCTTGCGCATGACTGCTTCCTCCTTGACCGCCAGATGCTGCTTAGTTTTTGGTATGGCTTCTCCTTTTGAAGCAGCCGTCAACACAGACAGCCATCTTTCCATGTCTTCTTTACTCTCTGCCATAAACAGGAACACGTGAGGTTTGGGAGCCGGCTGCTCACATTTGAAACAACTGGAAGGAAGAAGCATTTGTGTGCAAAGTTGTAAAAAAATGAAATACACCTGTAAAAGTAATGACTTCTAATGAACCAAATATCCCTGAACAACTCAACCAAAGTAGTTTTTT